CTCTTCCCACGTCAATATTTATTATGGCACTTCCATTGTATTTCAAACCTTCCAATATATTGGTTTATTTCATTTCATTTCATTTTGCACAATATATATATATATATATATATATTTTAAAGTGTGTTTATATGTTTGTACAATGCCAACAACAATATGCATGTTTCTTCCCCCCGAGAAAATATCTAATGCAGGTAAACTCACATTTAGTGGTGGACCAACAATATAAAGATGTCTTTAATCTTGGCCGTCCATTTTCAAGGGTCCCCATTGTATACAATTGTTTGTTTGCATATATGCCACATGCTTATCATCATCTAGCAACAAACATCATTGCATTATATACATACGCCAACTAGAAAAGAGATATACATTTCCTCAGTTAAAGATAAACCATAAATTGCACCAAACTAATATTGTTACATCTTCTTAGGAAAGTTAAGAAATAGGACGAGGTCAATATATTCTAAAATTAAATTTAAAAATTGTTAGTAGACGAGGCTTGTTGGTGGAGGGCATTTTTGCCAGATCACACGAGTAAGCTATATATAGCCATTGAAATCCGCTAGAGAAAAACACTCCTACTTCTTATTTCAGCAACACAAGTTGATAAATAGGAGGAACATCCGTTTTGGAAGTTTGAGGCTGAAAATGGCAAGTCATTTGCGAGTTCTTTTGATTGCTCTATGCATCTTTGCACTTGATCAACTTCTTGTTGATGCCATGATCTCGAAGAGCATGTATGTCACATGGGGTAAGCAACACGCGGTCGTTAATCGCGAGGATCTTCAACTAGTCCTCGATCAGACGTCGGGTAATTTTCTGACAATCTGTTTTGATTTATTATTTTTTTTCTCTAGTTTATGAACAAGATTTAGAACATTTCATATTATGGAGATTGGTTTTGCAGGGTCTGCTGTTCAATCAAAGAGAAGTTTCTTGTTTGGCAGCATTGAGATGCTTATTAAGTTGGTGCCTGGAAACTCTGCAGGAACTGTCACAGCCTACTATGTAAGAAGTTATTCTTAAACAAAATACTTTAGGTTGTTTATACTTTATAATAATATATGTCATGTTCTCTTTTTTTTTTTTTTTTTTTAAATGGAAAATTAAGTTACTAGCACGTTGGCTTGGACCCCAACTATTGATGCATAGATCATAATGGTTCTCCAAATTTCTAGGACTATCGGAGCGTAAAAGTTTGTAATTTTCCTTGCTCAAATTTGTGCAGGTTTCCTCCACGGGCGACAAACACGACGAGATAGATTTCGAGTTCTTAGGAAACGTTTCGGGGCAACCTTACATTGTCCACACAAACATCTACACACAAGGAAAGGGAAGCAAGGAGCAGCAGTTCTACCTCTGGTTCGATCCAACGGCCGATTTCCACAACTACACAATTCATTGGAACCCCACTGAGATTGTGTAAGCTAAAAAGATCACTCCAAAACTCTAAATTCCAAGTACTTAATAAAACCAACACAAACAAAGTAGTCTAAACTCCATGAAATTCATCTCAGGTGGTACGTGGATGGCCTGCCAATTCGCGTTTTCCGAAACTACGAGAAGGAGGGGATTGCATACCCCAACAAACAAGGCATGAGAGTCTACTCCAGCTTGTGGAATGCTGATAACTGGGCAACCAGAGGAGGGCTGGTTAAGATTGACTGGAACAGCTCTCCGTTTGTGGCGAATTTGCGAAGGTTCAGGGCGAGAGCCTGCAAGTTCGATGGACCGGCCAGCGTCACAAAATGTGCCTCTGGCTCCCCAGGAAACTGGTGGAACAACCCTGTTTACAGCCAGCTGAGCAGTGCCAAGTTGGGTCAGCTAAACTGGGTCAGAAGTAACTACATGATTTATGACTATTGCAAGGATACTAAGAGGTTCAATGGCCAGATTCCTCCCGAGTGCTTTAAACGACAGTTCTGAGGTGAAGAGAAGATGTGTTTGAAATGGGAATGTGATGTTGTTCTTGATGAGATGAATGATTATGCTGCTCCCAACTTTTTCATTTTTTCGTCTTTGCCTTTTTTTTTAAAAAGAAAAACTACTTACGATTCATGACTGAAAATAATTTGTCTTGTGATTCAACTATTTTTATGATTGGGAGTACTTTCATCCCCTAAAGAAAAAAATTCGAACCGATTCATTGAGATTGATCTAATTCTCGTATTCAGTTTCTTTGATGGAATGAACAACTCTTTTTTTGTTTTTTTTAGAATGGGGGGATATCAATAATTGTTTTGAAAAATACACCCTATCTAACAAGAACTTGGTCTAAATTTGAAACAAACACTGCAAAGAAAGAAAGAAAGAATCCCACAAGAGATTCGCCCGCCGGCTATCAAAATAGTTGGACTTGTTCCTCTCCAATGTTTGTTTCCCATTTTACAATTTTTTTTTTTTCCCGATAGAACCATTTTTATAAAGTTGTAAATCAGCCGAAGTGAGAAAGTAAAAAAATATTTATGCCTGTCGATTTTTCCTTTTTACTCTTAATTAATATCTTTTTAAATCAAACAACTGTATTAGTAAAAAATATTAATTAAAGCGCAATAAAAATCTAAACTTATAGCTTTAACTTCAGCAATTCCGAAACAACGGTCAGTCCTCTTATAGATGACATTAGTCCACTGAAACGACAATAACTATAAAAACGACAACATCTGTTACATACACCAAAAATTTGTAAACAACTTTCCCGCGTATTACAGACTTTTGGAGGAACAACAATAAAGTAAAAGCGACGATAGTCTAGAAACGACATCGCTAACAACGACAAATCGACAATAAACTTTATAAAACGACGAGATTCTAAACCAACAAAATATAAAATATAACCGTTAACAAAGGACAAAAAAAGAAAAAAAAAAAAGGAAAAACGGCAATACTCCAGTAATGCGGACGCAGAAATAGTCGAAGAGCAACAAAATATATGACAAACGACAAAAAGAACACTATTTTACTAAGAATGAAGTGGAAACAAACGACAGTCTGTAAAACAATAGAACGACAATTGAGCAAAAAATGACAATCTCTAAAATAATAATAGATTAAGGTAAGGTTTGTTTAAGAGTTCTATCTATCTGGTTTAAGATCACAATTATTAATTCTATTATTCTCACAAAAAAATTAAATTTTAAAAATTAAAATCATTAATTATAATTTTAAACCCATAAATTAATCGTCACTTAAATCTCCAATGCCAAGTTAACACAACGCAAGTGTAGAAACGAAAATTTCAAACACGCATGAGATAAGTCAAAGCACCTTTTTTTTTTTTTTTTTTCCTCGACTGATATTACAGTCATCCACATCTCAAAAAAAAAAAAAAAAAAAAAAAAATCAAGGGAGAGATTTCCTTTACAAAGAGGAGGCTACGAAATACAAAGCGAAACGCCGAGCACAATCAAGAGTGTACCGACGAAAGCGTAGCCCAGGTGGGTGCGTTCCCCGAGGAGGACGCCGAAGACGGCGGTGGCGGCGAACGTGGTGGCGTTGGTGACCGGCACGGCCCTTGAGATCGGCACGTGGCCGAGGATGGCGAAGAATGTCGCGGACGCCGATAGGTTTATCAGGAACGGGATCGTGTACTGCCAGATCCACAGGAGCTTTAACCACTTGTTAATGGAGGAGGCGATCCGGCCCATTGGGCCCCGGGTCGGGTCCGGTCGGGATGATGATGGGCTGAGCCTTAGGGCTCGGTCCCAGAGGACTGCGCCGCGGCGCATCAAGGCGTTGGTGGCGCCCCATACCAGGCCCACCGCGATCATCTTCTCTGTGTCGCCCACTTTCACCAGCATTCTTTCGCGGTCTTGACTTTTGCTCCGATCTCTGCCCTTTTCTATCGTGATATTTCTATTTTTTTTTTTAGAAACGAGGATAAAAACAACGACAAAGATTCAGAAACGACACCATGCCAGAAGACGACAGAATTCTAGGAGTGGCAGCAGCTATGAATAAGGACAATATACCCTAAAAACGACGACATAAACGGACTTCCGGAGACGGCAATAGCAAAGAAGAAAGAACATTCGAAAGGAAAACGATAGGAAGCTTGGAAAAGAAAATCCTAAAAAAAAAAACTTCCAGAATGACGACGTTCTAAAGGACAAAACATTTATAAAAACGACAGTGGGAAGAAACGACAAAAAAACGACGTTAAACCAGGAAACGACAATTCATTTTCGACAAAAATGACAATCTATAGAATAAGGGAAAAGGAAGAAAACGGCACTGATCTTGATAAAATGACAATCTATTCTTAAAACGATAACGTTCTAAAAGAAAGAATTTTTCAAGTAACTACAGAATCAAGGAAACGACAAAAAATGTAAAGCGACACTACGAAATTGTCAGAAAACGACAGACTCTGAAACAGCAAAAGCGAGTAAAATGTTAGCATAATGCATTGTAGACGCGACAATTTACCCTAAAACGACAGTACTTTTAAAAGAGTCAAGGGAATGCCAAAGCCTTGAAAACGACACAATGCTGGGAAAACAACAATGCATCCGATAAACACACAATCCTAAATTGCAGCAACGACCTTTTTCCTTCTTTTCCTTTTTATTTAGGAGTTTTTTTTGGTTGATGATTTTAGTTATAACTCGTTCAATTCATATTTGAGGTTAAATTTTTGTTTTCTTTTGGTTTTTTAATTTCTTATTTGATTCAGTTTTTTAAGTAGTTTATTTGTGAATATGTTGCAATTTATTGTTTATTGTTTTATTGAATTTTCATTACTAATGGTAGCAACAAAACCCATGTTTATCCCTTTTTCCATCATCATCTAGCTTTTCTCGCACATGAACCAGGGAGGATTCCACAATTGACAACAAAAAAAACAACAGTTTCACCAAAAAATAAAAAATAAAAAATAAAACAGACAATTTATCACAATCAATTTCAATTCACAATCTTTAAAATGGCGGTCCAATTAAGCCAGCCCCTTCCAGTTTTCCGCTGCCAAATTTTCCTTCTTTTAGCCGGGCCCCACTTAACATCCTCAACCTAGCAAAGTACAAATACTCTGCGTAATTCCCGCAATTTCCAAGGGCAATACCGTAAACCTGCTTTCCCCATAATATGTCTCGTTGTGTGGGGACACTGATTTGACGTGGCAATACGTGATTGGTGGAATGAACGACAAATGGAACAGCAATGAACAATATAATCCTCATAATAATACATTGCGTTCATTTTAAAATTATGATTTAAAATTATTTTTATTTTATATATATTTTTTATAAAAAAAAATATTATAATAAATTATAAATTATAATTTAATTTATGACACAAATTCTCCTGTGAAACACAAAATCCTCGGTCTCGCGGGCCACAAGCCTAATCCGATTAATGAACGGGTCAACGCCCGTCACCTACCAAAGTTCCTAAAATACCCCTGCAATTTCCGTCTTTATTCCCACGAAGCCACGCGAAACCAAATCGTTTTTGGCGACAAGGGTCTCTCTCTCTCTTCTCTCTCTTCTCTCTCCTCTTTCTGTGTGGCTTTAGTTTCTCAGCTGTCGAAAGGAGAGAGAAAATTCGGGAATTCAATTGCTTGGATTTATCCGATTTCGATCCGAATTCAAAACCCTAGGTAGTGCGATTTCCGATGTTCTGATCGACCTGATCTCTTTCAATATCGGACATGGAGAGGATCGTCGGCGGCAAGTACAAGCTCGGCCGGAAGATCGGCAGCGGCTCGTTCGGCGAAATCTATCTCGGTAATCGTTCGCGGAAGAAATAAATCTTTTGAAATTCGAGTTTTGTTCTTGAAGAGAGAGATTGATAATTGACCTTTGTGGTTGATGATTTCTTTGATTCTTGATTGCAGCTACGCATATCGATACGTTTGAGATCGTCGCTGTTAAGATTGTGAGTTTCGATTACTGATGCGAATTTCGCTTTTGTTCTTATCTGGTTTTGTTGTGTAAAACCAATTCGATTTTCATTTTTTGATGCAATTGTGTCTGTAATTTAAGCCATGGTTTTTTATTTGTGTTTGGTGAATTGGAAATTTGGAGAAATTTGAACACTTTGTGTTGTGTTTGCAGGAGAACAGTAAAACAAAGCATCCCCAGTTACTTTATGAGGCCAAGTTATACCATATCCTTCAAGGAGGAAGTATGAATTATATGACCGTTAATTTTCCTCTTCGTGTGTTTATTTATATACGTACAAATTTTTAGTTGATATGTTTTGAAATTGTGTTAACTCAATTCAGGTGGAATTCCGGGTATAAAGTGGTCTGGCACTGACGGGGAAGATAATGTGCTTGTTCTTGATTTGCTGGGGCCAAGTTTGGAGGATTTGTTTGTCTATTGTGGAAGGAAGTTTTCACTAAAGACGGTCTTAATGTTGGCTGATCAGATGGTAAATATTTTCTTTCTATGTCCTTGTTCATATAGAGCATTGTTTCTTACTTCTTAGGAACGATGGGAAGTAACCCTTTTGAGTTTCGTCCAGATTACAAGGATAGAGTATGCGCATTCGAAAGGTTTTCTGCATAGAGACATAAAGCCAGACAACTTCCTCATGGGTCTTGGTCGGAAAGCAAATCAGGTGTTGATTTAGTCTTGCCTTCTTCGTTATTTCCTAAAGATTTGTTTTTATGTGGATTTGGTTTAATCTCTTGTTATATGTGCTCCATTGCGTTCAATCTTATGCTTGATTTAACTCGTTAGGTTTACATAATTGATTTTGGGCTTGCAAAGAGATATCGGGACTCGACAACTAATCGCCATATTCCTTACAGGTATACTTGTACTCATTTTTATTTTCTCTCCTTTCCCCCTGGATAAGTTTATACGACTTTTAGTTATTTGCCACCGACATTTGCCTCTTACAGGGAGAACAAAAATTTAACAGGGACTGCAAGATATGCAAGCTGCAATACTCATCTTGGAATTGGTAAGCACAAAGATATTTTGTTTGGCTCCTCCCGTCCCCCCACCTTCTCTTTTATGGTCCGCTGATGATACTCAATAATCTTATTGATGTTTTCCTTATAGAGCAAAGTCGAAGAGATGATTTGGAGTCACTTGGATATGTACTTCTATATTTCTTGAGAGGAAGGTATGTCGTAGTCATTTCTTTCACCACTTTTTGGTTAAGTTGATTTGTTTGAACTGGCTGTGATGAATTTATTAATTTTAAGTACATGCATAAATCGAGGTACCAGGAATGAAAAACTGATATAGTTTGCTCCATCCCTTTAATGCTTTCTTCTTTTTGTTTTTTCCTTTAAGCCATTAATGTTAATGTTGTGATCACCATCATCGTCATGATTATAGACTCAGTTTTTGCTTTTGTAGTCTTCCATGGCAGGGTTTAAAAGCAGCCACAAAGAAACAAAAATATGACAAGATATGTGAAAAGAAGTTGTCAACTCCTATTGAGGTTTGTGTGACTGTGTCAATCATTCATGTTGTGTTCTGGAAGTTCCAAATGCTGCAAATCTAACATGATTACTTTTGAAAGGTTCTATGCAAGTCTCACCCAGTGGAGTTCGCATCATATTTTCATTATTGCCACTCATTGCAATTTGACCAAAGACCTGATTATGGATTCTTAAAGAGACTATTTCGTGACTTGTTTGCTCGTGAAGGTAGAAATGTTCAAATTCTTATTGTTATCAGCCTCTTCTTTTTTGTGTAATTTTCTTTTAGTTGCACTCGCTTTTATTTTGATTGCTTTAGTTGATCTTCTTGGAAAATGGCAGGATATGAATTTGATTACATATTTGATTGGACAATTATAAAGTACCAGCAGGCACAAAAGAATAGAACACAAGCTCGATTATCTGTAAGTATGTTTGCTGTCTGTTTTTGTATTTGGCATCAACTTGTGTGGAATTGGTTTCTTGTCCTGGTTCTGACAATATCGAGTTGAATATCTGCATTCTACAGCCAGCTCCTGGAGGGAGCAACAGTCACACGATGCAAATGGATATGGGCAGTCATCAAGGTTAGATTGGTTTTGGGCTTTGTTTATGTCCAATAACTTGATTGTTCTCCTTCTGAGTTAAATCTGCTGTAGGGTACAATTTTGTGGTAATTGGGATTTCATTTAATCATTAATATTTAATTAGCTAGCATATACAAAGAAAAAAGGGCTTGATGTGGGTGCTAAAGTTGGTGAAGATAATAATGGCTGTCGGGAAGAGGGGTTTTCTTTTTAAGTTTTGCCCTTTCTTCCTTTCCTATTTGTTCTGTTTCTTGATGTGTATTTGTCAGTTGACCTGTGGAAACAATGTTTTTCTTGTAAATTGTTTTAGTGGCCGGTGGTAATAATCCTTCCTACTCAGCTGAGGTTACAGACCGCATTAGATCAAGCAATGCTACTGGTCCTGGCATTCGCGTGCAGTTTAAACAACCAGTGACCAAGAATTTGAACTATGATAATCTGCTTGAAAAGCATGTAAGCATATTTCTATCTAACCATTTAGTAATGTAATTTGGAATATTGATAAGACTGTAATCCATATTCCAATGCACTGGTATATTATTATTATTATTATTATCTTCATCATCATTATCAAATGCCCTGGTATGCTATGCTACTAAACTGATAATGCCACTTCCTAAAATCACTTTTAAAACTTCCTTTTGCAGCTTGTTAGTGAAACATACGTGCCGTCTAGTACTCATGCAGTTGCTGGAACCTCAAGAAGACAGAAATCTGTTTTGCCTGCTGAAGCTGCAAACCCTGGTCATGGAAATGGCAACAGAGTGGGTCCTTCAAGTAGCTGGATTTCATCTCTGCAACGGATCTCTTCTGCCAAGTGATCTGTAAGGTAGTTTTATTGACTGTTCTTTTACTCATTCATCATATCAAGTGGTCGATTATTTGAATCAAAATTCGTCATTCTCTTTATTGTATTTTTGACCAAATAGTTTGCGTTGTGTTTTAGCAGCATGTTGGGTCGAGCAACATCCTACCAATACATCTGTGAAGCAGCAGATATGAGGTGATTCGATGGTCGTTTTGTAATGTCATCTGTTTAAGAAGATTTCAGTGATACAGCAGTGGTCACTTCAAATTTGCTGTTTGTTTGATGATTTGCATTAGTTCCTGAGTTATCGCCAGCTCGCATTATTTTTCCTTAAGGTGACTATAAATGCATTGGTTGTTATGGAATACAGATACCAAAAGCTTGGTATCTGTGCTGTACATAGACGTTATAAAAACACACAGCAATCTTGTATTAAAATTTATTTGATGTAAGTTGAATGATATAAAGTATTTTTTTTTTCCTTTTCTCGTTGTTAGATAACAAGTTTTCTCTATGGTAATTATGGTTGTGGACATCATTTCTTTATTTTGCTTGATTCCTGGTTATAACTAGCTTGTGTTGTCCTTCAAGATTTTTGTTTCTCAGACTGGGGCCTTCTGGTGTTCCCTGGAGCATTTTCTCCTGGTTAGCCAATCTTTCTCTGGGTAAAATGTTATGCTTACATTTCATGCTTTCTCACAAGAAGCATCCCTACGTTTATGCTGTGAATAATAAGCTTTATGGAGAATCTTCTCTTTGGGTTCCCTTTCTTTCTTTCTTTTTTTTTTTCCTTTCAATATCAACTTTTCATGCCGGAAAATGCAAATGTTTCTGATGTTACCGGGCCTAAATTGGCAAGTATTTCACACGAGAGGAAATTATGGTTAGAACTCTAGGATTGTGACATTTTAGAGACGTTAAAGGTAGACTTTATGGCTCCATATTCAGATTTCTATACATATGTTGTTCTGTACTGATATATATACAATGTGAAAAGGTCTTTTTTAATGCTTTAAGCTATTATTTCAATTAAACACGATGAGTCTGTGATCGCATATTGTTTACATGCAATGTAAGTTGTTAATGCAAAGCTTTATGTACTCATCTATAGATTGTATCTTAATTCGAGAATGTTAGATGCGCAAATAACATCTTTTTGGGTAGGTATCGTTTCCTGTCACTTGTGATTGGTCCCCTTTGTATAGGCAATTCTCTGTTAGCTTTTTATTAGTATTATTATTTTATGCTTAGTATATCCCTATTCTCTATTCTCTATCCTTTAATGATTTAAGGATATGGAAGAAGTTATTGGTATCATTTCAGGATAAAAAATCTAGAAAAGGTTTGTAATCCACAGTATTTTTTTAATGTTACACTATTTGTATTAGCTTTCTTATCACGGACTGCTTTTTTGGAGCCTCAACTGCTATTTTTCTCATTTCTGAGAGCAGATTTCCTGTATGCATTGTATTAATTTGTTGTGCACTTCGGGAAGTCCAAGTAGCATATTCGGACTATAGCTTGTCCACGCATAATTAGTTTTAAGTTATGCTATCAACTTCCAGCTAAGGTTTTAAAAAAATTGTTGCTTTGTGTGCTATGTGCATGTAGTCTATGGACGTAATTGCCAGTTCGTACTTTTTATTTGCAGGTTTCTAAAGGATGGTATCGGAAGACCATAAAATATGCGGCTCTCTGCTTCCACACTGGCTCAAGTAAGAGGCTGCTTAGCTGCTGACATGAACTAATGTGTGAAGCAAAATATTTGACCAATATTTTTGTGCTACAAGTTATGGTCAAAATGTTGTTTTTACTAACCTGGGAAGGTAGAAGGAATGCTGACTGTAAATTTGTGTTCAAATTTCAGAAACGTTTGGATTGCGACCGTTTATATAATAGTAGAGTTCTGTTCAAGACCTGGTATACTTAGTTCAATCCCCTCGAAGTAGTATTCTGAGCCTCCAAGACCATGAAATATAGGAATATGAAATCTAACCGGACTGACTGAGATGCTGAATATTGTGCTGCTCTATAGATTCAGCGCTGCATATCGTTGCAGAACAAAATAATTGTTTTTGAGTCGTGTGATTACTGTTTTCCTTTGCTCTTTGCTAAAAAAAAATGCTCGTTGGCTGGTTCCTAGTACAGTTGGTTTCAATCAGAAGATCCAACAGGCAGTTCTTTTTCTTTTTGGTGGTGTGGTTTCATTGATGGATACGAAGATCTGCTGTTGTATGTGCTGTCACTTATGGTGTGATTTGGGACATTGGAACTCAAATTGGTATGTCGCAGTCAGGACGATGTGTAATTTGATCGAGTTCTGTTAGGTTTTGTACTGAAATTTCATTACCCCGTTAAGCTAAGAGAAAAATGTTGAATGTATCCTTAAAGAGTGTATGGGTTTGAATTTTTAGTTCTTACTCTTGATTAATATCCTTTTGACTAATATAGTTATTTGATTAAAAAAAAAAATCAAGAATAAGGAGTAAAAATTTAAACTCAAACACTCGGAGGAGTATATGTCTCCTTTTCCCTTATGCTAATTGTAATTATTAAGATTTTAAAAGGCGGCCTATCAGCATATGCAATTTTGGGCTGCTACTGTCTATAAGGAGCAAGGGAGAGTGATGTTGTGGCATGTTTGATAGAGTTAAATTGAACGGTCAATTTGAAGGGGTTTGATCCAATACAAGATGAAAATCACTGTTAATAATATTAAGAAGGTATTGCACATGCTTGTAAATGTTGAAAAAAAAGAAAAAAAAAAAAAAAAAAAAAGAAGCAGCTTGCAAATGTTCCATGGCAATCCTCAATAGTAAACATTCTATTACACGATATAGATTCTTTCCAAGAGAATAAAGTTAAATTTGCTTTTGTAACAATTATACCAGTACGAGTAATGGTGATTTCTGACAGAAGAATAATCTTCACTGTCCAAAAAATTGCAGTGCAGTACCATTCTAATAATTAAGGTGGTAGGGATGAGAAATCCTAGTATGAAGTTGATAGTGAATGTGATAGTTAAGGTAAGGAAATGCGATGAGTGGTTTTCGCAAGGACACATATTGTGGGTTAAAGAGTGGGTGGGATCCGCTTCAAGAAGAAGGGAAAGCTTGGTCAGCTATGCATAAACTTGACCTACAACTATCATACTGCTGGAAGCATGACACGCCACAAGAATTAATTAATATTTTAAGAGTATTAAGGACAATCACGGGTGACATGACTATTACTTCTCATTATTCGAACTTCGATCGAATAAAAAGAATTAGGGTTTGCCGTAGGATTAACGCTAATAGTGTCAATAACGCTTGTGATGCTAATATCCACATAAAATTAGTCACCTTTTGCTCTTGATTAGTCAAAGAAGTAAATTACTTTTGGGGGAGGTAGTTCCCTCTTGTCTTTCTTTTTCTCATCAAATTTTTGACATTTATGTACGGAAGGTTCTTTGATTTCTCTCTCTCTCTCTCTTCTTTTCTTTCCCATAATTTCTTAACTTTTCTCTTTCTCAAATCTCAATAAAAGCGAGGTTTTTCAATTGCCATTTTTGAAAGGAATACGAGGGAAGTTTTCAAATCGAGAGCTTCTTATGTTTCCTTATGTGGTAATAAAAGATGTTTAGGAGTTAATTTTGATATTCACGATAAAATGCTCACAAAGTCTCGAATATAAGCCTAGAATCTCCACATACCGTTTCAATCAGCCCCTTCGAGTGCTATATGTAACATACTAATATTCTGTTTCCAGAAAACTGAGCCATGCACACAGATTTTAAATTTTCAAAATCTGATGGAAATGTGTACAAAATTTAACAAAAAAAGAAGGCGTAACATACTCATTTTAAATCCAACGCAGGAATAATCCCATTTTAAATTATATATTTCAAAGAACATATCTTTCTAGTACTAAACAAACTACTGAGTTTAACGAATTTTAATTAAATAAAAACATTTTTAAATAATTTTCAAAAGATAAAATCGGTAATTTTGTAATTAATCATTAAAAATTAAGAATCAGATTTTGTGTGCATTTGCTTATTGGGAGCTAAATTTGACACGAAATATAATATAAACCATGCTTTAGTGCAAAAATAAATAAATAAATAAATAAAAGAAGGCATTATGAGTGATTAGTTTTTATGTCCAAATACCAAATTTCACACTTTATGCGGCTTATTGGGAGCTAAATTTGACACGAAAAATAACATAAACCATGCTTAGCGCATGAGTGATTAGTTTTTGTGTCCAATTACTAAATTTCACGCATTATGCGGGAAAAAAAATTATTTATTACCAATGAGTTTCACCCTATAAACGAAAAAATAAATCTCAAAATTTATAAAAATCATGGGGATTAGTAGCTGATTGTGATTATTAAATAACAAAATATACATCGTTTTATATATCCTGTTAATGGTTGTACCCAAAATCTTTTACAAGATCGCATGTCTTAGTTTGTCGGTGACAATTATTATCAATTTGGATATATTATCTAATTAGAGTACGAAATATTGCTGGCCGTTTAACAAAAGATACTGCAAATATATATAAATTATAGTACTGCACATAACTTATAATATTGGTCATATTTAATTCTGACCAGCACAAACAATAGAAATTTCTTCCTCTTTTTACTCCTTGTATTATTTTTACAATCTAAACGGAAGAACAATTGTAATGTGCAATCTATAAAAAAAAAAAAAGAATATATAAACACATAATCTGGATTAACAAATGGAAAGACACTAATTGAACTACCCAACTTAATTAAACCTTCCCTTTTTTTTTTCCCTCACCTTTTTGATTATCTACAAATTACCAAACCAAAATGAAAAAAAAAAAAAAAAATGATACTCGTTTCATATGCATGCAGAAATCTATAAACGACGATGATCAAAATATATAGAACATTTAACGGACGTGATTTAAGCAGGTCATAATATATGACAATGATCATCATCTTTCTTTTTAATTAATCACTTGATCCTCACCCAAATCCCCTCGCTTGGTACCCCACGATGAACCACAAACAGAAGATAATACCCCGGCGGAGCCACCACCCCCGACGGCGGCGCCGTCGCCACCACCCGGTACATCCCCCGAGAAGTCCGTACCACCATGTCCTTCTCCAAAATCAGCATTCTCTGGTTCATCGAGTATCCATGCGTCGTAAACGGCGGCGAGTACATTGTTACCTTAATATCGCCGTTTCTCACCCTCAGTCCCTTCAGCTTAAACACTATCTCGAACATACTTCCGTAAGAAAGTTCGGTTGCTGTGGATTCCTTCACTAACTCCGGCCTCCACTTGGCCAGCGCCGGGTCCAAGTACGGCGGCGAGAATTTCTCGATTCGCAGTTCGGTCGGGTACTTCGCCGTGTAGTTGTATCCGGGGTTGGTGTTGCTCCCGGCGACGATGATTTTCCCGTCGGGAAGCACCGCCGCCGATGAGTGGTACATCCGGGGTATGTCGGTCGCCGCGAGCTCGGTAAACCGCTGGGTTACCGGTGCATCGGGGCGGTAGAGGACCGGGACGAGGTTGGGATTGTCGGCGAAGAACCACGCGGCGGTTCCTGCCTTTGCGCCATTGATGAGGAGAAGGTCGCCAGTGGGTAGGATCAGCATGTCGCCTATGACGCGCTGGGACGGCATCGTCTCGGTCTTCCAAACCGGTTTCGGGTCGGTTATCGTGATCCGGTTGCAGTCTTGTAACGCCGGGATGAACGTCCCGCGGCCGGCACGGCCGTAGGCCTCATTCTTGGCGCCGCCGCAGATGATCACCTCTGCGGGAGGCGGGACGGCGGGGTTGAGGTCGAGGCGGATGGGGAGGAGGGCCGACATGCCGGAGGCGGGGTAGTTGCGGGCCCCGCCGGGAAGGACAGGGAGCTCGCGGAGGACGTTGTTGGTCTTAGGGCTGAGGAGGAGGGAGCGGTTGTTGGCGAAGATGAAGACATTGCCGTCAGTGGAGAGGTAGACAAAAGGGTAGAGGTTGTTCTCATCCAAATCGGTGGTTTGATCAAGAAGTGGGAGGAAGTACTTGGCGTTCTTGTTGTTGAATTTTCCTGGAGGCGGCACGTACTCGTACGTGTATGCTCTCCGGCCGCCGACCACCATGAAGCCGCCGTCGGCTAGGGTTATCTGTGTTGCATACCTTGAGAGTCAAGGTACGTACATATTTTTTATAATCAGTTAATGAATTTCACTCAAGTATATAAATATATGTGTATATATATAATGGTACTAGATCAGTTCGAAAAGAAAAAGAGAGTAGGTGAAAATTAATTTAGTGGAATCTCATATATAAATACTTTCATCAGAAAATATGTTGATGTGAAAATGGAAGAAAATTTTATGTGCAGGAAAGAAAAGCTAAAATATTAGTTCAACTTCGTGGAGAAATGAGTTGTAATGTGATATGTAGTTTAGTTAATATTGAAAGATGGTATTTGGTTATTATGCAATTAATATGTAATCTGCTTAGTTTCCTACCTAAAAACATGGAAAATATTAGGTGGTTGCGGTAATTTTATACCTGATTTTAACCTAAGGTATAGAATTCGAATGTCTTATCTCTAAGTTAAGAAAAAAATACAAAAGAAATATTGGAAATAGAAGTATGTATATATGTATATATATAAATATATAAGAGGGAAATAATGAATAGCACTACACACCATCTTGGATCAGCCAAAGTAGTTTGGTATTCGTTGAAATCACAAGTGTCGCAGGGTTTGAAATATCGAACAGTTTTAATACCATTGTCCCAACCACCAGTTCCCACCAGGCTCCCGTCAACTGCAAGCCCTCCCGATGAACACCATGGATCATACACCATCTGTGACCAAACCCCATTATATACATATATATATATATATATATATAAAGAATTACTATATTACAGCACATGCAAATCTTAGCTAAATATATAATTTTCTATGGTTCGCATGCAAATTGTGACAGAGATGTGCAACCTATCTTAAAATTGCAATTAGACCAACATATTCAACTTACATAGAGTAACATCCTTTTTATTTTTTTATTTGTGGCTTGAACGTCAGCAATCCAAATGTGCATGCGCATTTTTTTTTAATACATTTAGCTCCCATTTTACTTAAAAAACAAAGTTACCGAAATTCACATGAACATGCATAACCACTTGAGCTAAAATGCACATGCATGTTATATGTTTTATATGTGACAAATTAAGGAATAATTAAGGAGCTTTTGGATTAACACCTTAAGTGGCCTAATTTTTGCAGTGTCGATATCAAATTCCACTCCATGAGCCCAACAATCAGTCATCTGCTTGTTACTCCTCTTATCCATGAAAGGAACGCATTGGCCATTAGGCAACTTTATGTCCGAAATATGGAAAGCGGAGGCATCATACATTATAAGCTTATTGTTTGGAAGCAAAATAATGTGCATTCCTGAGACACCCGAGTTCTTAGACACCAAATCCCAAGACCCTTTGAAGTCCGTCGAAAAATCGGGCCTTGCATTAGGATCGAGCTGCGGGTTGTGATCAGAGTCGTCGGCGGGCGTCCGACGGGGGGCGGGTTCTCGGTCCTCGTACGCGTCATGATCATTGGAATGAGAGGGCCGTCCTATGAATGGGAAGTTGAAAGGAAAATTGAATGGAAAGAGATTCGTCCTTTGGCTTTGGTCTTGACCATTACCATTCAATAATCCTTCTCCACTGAATTGTGAGGAAAAAGGGTTTCGGAAGAAATTAATTTGTGCTAAGCCATGGACAAACAAGAGAGGTAGGAGAAGACAAAGAGCCTTAATGTGAAATAAGGTGGCAGCCATTGAAGAAAATAAGTTTCTTCAATGGCAAAATTTGCGAGTCTAAATTAAACAAGATTAATACCCTAGCTAGCTAAGCTCCTCTTTAGTTGCTTATTATGCTCTTTTTTGGCTTTCCTAGTTTTCCTCTCCATCTCTCTTGAATTTAAGGCTGAAATGAGTCGGTTAAAGAGGATTAGCTTAAGGGTATATAAGGCGATGAAGCAAACTACAAAAGCCCCTTTTAAGCCCAGGCTCCTAAATTTTAGGAAACTCTTAACTAATTACCAATACGACCTCAAAATATTAAAAATAATTGATGAATTGGGAATTTTCAAAATGATTACTATTTATTGGACATACGATTCATTCTCTAATCTTTGCAGGAGTAATTTTATTTTTAAGATAACTCCATATTTTCAATATTTTCAGGTGTATATGTTTCTCAAAAGCTGGTTTCTAATATTTGTTTATTTTTACTGACTATTTGTTGCTAGAATGGTATCTAATCAATCAAATTGTGCTATATTATTTAAAAATTTAAAATATTTTATTAATTAATTTTTCTTTATTTTGATATTTAGATGTTGTCACGCCTCCCAAACGGGGTATGCGACGTGGAGCTCGATTAGGGGTTAACAAAGCAAATTTTCAAACGAGCCCCACTCAACTGCATTTCAAATATAATACAAAGTCCTGAGCCTCTGACAACACACAGGGCTCCACCCACATGATATATGGTATTGTACATACATGAACATGTAAATAATCAATTACAACAGACATCAACCACAATCTAGTATATCCAGATATTATATGAGTTTACAGAATGCTCAATTCCTTACATTTATGTCAGAGGATGAACACATTCCTCTCTTGTTCCAACAGCAGTACCACTTAACTACTCCGTAGCAAATGTTCAGCTATTGTGCACCACTCCTAGAATCTCCTGGGAGGAGTTTAATATTTATAAAAACATAAAACGTGAGCGAAAGGCCCAGTAGGATATAGTTTGAAATGATTATATAAATAAATGAATAATAAATGAGCAACGAATAAATAAATGAATAAGTAAATAAAATAAGACATTCAGTTCCGACAGGCAGCCGAGACCTCACATCCTTTTTCTCAAAGGAAATATAACTGAAAATAACCATATTACAGGCATCAGCAAGTAATTAGTACAAATTACTCACTTACTAAGTGCCTCGCCTACCCGGACTGAGTTTTGGGTTCTGCCCTCGAGGATGCATTCTCTACATCCTATCTAGGCTTACAACAATATATTCTTACCAGTTCACAAGATCTCTTATCTTAAGAAATCATTCAGTTAACATTATGAAATCGTTAATATGACCCCACGAACTACTCAAGCCGCAGGCCCCATGACTGGACAAGCCATAAGGTTCCATGACTAGACAAGCTATGGATTCCATGGACAGGACAAGCCATGGATTCCATGAACTAAACAAGCGATGGTTTTTAAAGAGATTTTCTTTCACAAACCAACCCCTTTCTTTAAAACATTTTCAAGGCCGAAATCTTTTTTGAAAACAGGCTCACAAGGAAAAGGGATAGAAATCCTACCTCGAATTTACCAAACCTGTGGCTAGCGGCGCACGATCTCAGCTTCCGCTTCCTCAAGCCACTCAGTCTAAATCCTCAGCTATCACTGATACAAGACAACACTTTAGGATCAATTTTTATTCCTAAAGCAATCCAATCTCAATTATGTACCAAGATTTTCAATTAGTGTGCCCTAATCCGATTTCATGTTTTAAATTTTCATTCTAAGGATTTTCAATTTTAAAACAAGGATTAAAGATGCTAATCTACTTATCTCAAGTCTCCAAATGAAGCTAATTTGGGTTCTCCCCAAAAACAAGGGTCAAAACAACAATTTCAGGCCAAACAGGGTCAAACCCCGTGTCAACCGGTCGACCGGTGACAGAACAGTGCATCACCACCGGTCGACCGGTGGTTGGCAATCCGGTCGACCGGTGGCCTCAGTGTAGTCCGGTTGACCGCATCGGTCGACCGGTGAAGAACTCTAGTGCGAGAAAACTCATGGAAATCAGTTCGAAAACCTGCAAATCCAGTCCCAAACTAAAATATTTCAATGGACAACCACTAGATCCGGGTTCTAGGTCCTAAAAGATCTCCAATTCCTACCCTAGTTTTACTCAAAATCTATAAAGATTCGTTTCGAACCAAAAATAAGTTTTAGAATCCGAAATCTAGAGATTCAAGAGAGGTTTTTCAGAAATCTTACCTTGAATCATTCTCTTGACGTTGAAAACTCTTTGAAACTTTCCTTTGGTTCGAAATCCAGTTGATTTTGAAGCAAACGAGAGAGAGAACCGAGAGAGGGAGTGAGAGAATGAAGAGAGAGAGAGAGAGAGAGAGAGAGAGAATGGTCTGAGAGAGACACGAGAGGAAAAGAGAAAAAGGAAGAAAAGGAAGAAAAGAAAAAGAAAAAGAAAAGAAAATGGACAGGTACCAGCATTTAAAAAAACAGTCTAGAAATGTGCTCATACACACTTCTGGGTTAAAATAAAATTACTGAGAATATTTAAATACCTTAGAATTATTTAAATTACACGTCAGAAACATTTATTAATCAAAATCAATTAATAAATCCAGATTAGGCACACTAATAATTCTTAATTATCTCAATTAATTCTTCAGGGTGTTACAGATTTATTAAACAATGTATCATAATTTAATTAGTTAGACACCAATTGAGACATAAAAAATTAGATAAGTAATTTGAGTCTGTCTATTAACATCTCTTAATCCTCTTCCCAATAAATTGATCAATTGAAACTATAAACCAAAATTTACATATATTTGCATTATCCGTGTTAATTAGAAGTTGATATTTGATTATTGCTATAACTATTCAATATATAGTACATACTTGAAGAGACCGGCTATGAGAAGAAAAGAGTAAAGTTAATTGCATATGTATCAGTATAATCCATTCGTAAATGTGGACAAACGTTGATTGAAAAAATGTATATTTTGCCCTTAACTAGTTATAATAAAATTTACAATATTTCTATATCTAAAGCAGGATATTCTTTGGTAATTTTTAGCCCCCTCTTGTGGCGGTGGAGGTCTAATCAAATATATAAGTCAAAGTTGCATTGTAGACAATTTATGATTTACAATCTAATCTATCTTTCTTACCCCCCCTATCTAGCTCTCTCTCTCTCTCTCTCTTGAAAAACCTACTCGTCTAGTCTTTTTTTTTTTTTTTTTTTTTTTTTTTGTAGGTGGTTTGACTGCTATCATGACTGGAATAATGTAAATTTCATTACGAGTTTATATTTATTTTAACATTCCGGATATGCTTCATAACTGTTATATACGATGATCATAAAAATAAAAAAAAATAAATAAAATCTCACGTACAAATTAATTCTTAATTTTGTCAGGGTTTGCGATTACGGATTGCGAAATTGATGAATTATACACCGGAAAACATATAAATGAGATAAGGGGGCGGCCTTGAATTCTTATTTGTGGGGATATTGATAAGGAGCTGGTCTCTAGTTTACCACTCGGGAACTCGGGGAGGCATTTTGATTCAAAAAGGCTTATATTTGAGAGAGAAGCTCTTCATCAGGCTGGTGAAACAAGCTGCGGTAGTCCTGTAGGGTGCCTAGGAAAGTCAAGATTCATATGTGGGCGTTGGAAGCGGGGATTTTACGAGACATTTCTCGAGCTCATTGTGACGCAGTTTGCCACACCTTTCGGGAGACACGGTCGTATGGTTGCTCAATTTGGGAGGTAATTAGGAAATTTCCCGGTGGTGGTCCTTTTGATGGACTTTGTCTCTTTTATGTCTCAACATGCAAATCAGGAGTGCTTTGAATTATTTTGTATGATTACTTGGAGCATTTGGTTTGCACGTAATCAATGGGTTTGTTTCCATTCGCGCGCGGCTAATAAAGAGGTTTTGGAACGTGCTGGGCGTATTCTTTGTGATTATAATACATGCCAGTTGATGGAAGGAGATCGCAATCACATTCATCCATTGCCGAGATCAGTTTGGCAAGCACCGGAGGGAAGCTTGGTTAAAGTTATAATGTGGATGCTTCGGTGCTCAGCTTTGTGGATTATGTGTCGTGGCAAGGGATAGTAGAGGTTCTGTGTTAGCTGCAGCTTCCATTCGTGTTCCGGGCCGCTTTTCTCCCCACGTTGCGGAATGTCTAGCCATTAGAGAAGGGGCGAAGCTAGCGGATGCATGATAGGGGGTTTTCGAATTGGGTTGTGTCGAGTCTGATGCAATAAGGCCGTGTTCATTTCACCGATTCGAGTTTAGAATTCAAGTTTTGTTATAGGAAAAAGCTCTCAGAAACAGTCACATCTAACTTGTTTACTACAGTAAAAAACTCACATAAAATCACATTTCAACTCAAATTAAAAACTCGAATCAACGAACTAAATGGGTCATTGTCCAAGTAGTTCAAACTCCTCCAGATCGGGCGTTGGAAGCGGGGATTTTACAAGACATCTCTCAAGCTCATTGTGACGTAGTTTGCTACACCTCTCAAAAAGGAAATGGCGTAGCCCACACGTTAACTACTCATGCTTTTACTAGCTCTATGAATAAGTTTTGGTTAGATTCAGTACTAGTTTTTATTAATCGTGCCGTAAGTAACGATATTATTCGTGATTAATATATGTGTTCCAGTTTTCATTCAACAAAGAAAAAAAATAAATGAGATGAAAAACTATAGAAAAATATCAAGATAAATAGATCTTTATAATTAATTGAATATACCTGTATCAACTTGGTAAAGATCTAGTGAATTGATGTCATTTAGATTTATCGTCGACATAGTATATATACAAACCTTTTTAATGTGTTTTCTAAACAAATTTCTCAAAATGCCATACTCATGTATATGCTATAGTTTCCATTTACTTATTGCCATTTTAGATTTCGTCAATATATACAGAGTTTGAAATTATAAGCTGCCTTTTTCTAATTGTATTATTATTTTAAGTTATATATGTGGCGCCGATCGATTTGCATGCTTGATAAGGAAATGGAAAGTCAAAAAAAAAAACTCTAATTCTCTCTCTCTCTCTCTTTTTCTAACTAGAAGATTCTCTCTCTATATATCTATATAAGAAAAACAAAATTTATCCTTTACATTGACGAGTCATGTTCTAGCAGCAATTTCAATAGGAGTAATTAGGATATAAATAAGATTATTTTAGTCTTAAGTACATGTGACAAACGACATTCGCAAGGGCTGCTGTAATTGTGTACTATGCTGGTAAACATTGGAAAGGAGATGGAAACAGTCAAAATGCATGATTGCTTGATGTTTAAGCAAAATAATTATGATCCTGAAAGGAATTACTGTCTCATCAAGAAAATTCAAAAAAAAAAAAAAGAAAAAAAAATTGAATGCTTTTGGAATATTTGAGCAATATTGCGATGGAATAATGTCAAGTATATTTATATTTTATAATTCTAGTGTGGTAAACCTATTAATGAGATTGGATGATCTTTAGGGTAATTGATACCGTTAGTCTCTTATTTTTCAGCCGTTAGATTTGTATTAAAATCTGTCTGTTTTGCATATTTTTTTAATCTAATGTAATTTTGATTAGATCTAATAATAAAAAATTAAAACTATCGGTAGGACGGATTATTGAAAAAACACCCTTTATAAATAAGGAAAATAAGTCAAAACTGTAAAATTAGTTAATTGATTCTCCAAAGAATATTCTTGGCCTAGTAAAGAATTTTACGCTACGAACACATATTCGGCCAAAAAAAAAAAAGTTAATCTTAGTGGCATTTGATACCTTTTCGTACGGCATTAACTTACATAGTGTCAAATATTCGTAGTAATGTATAATATTATTGGAGTGATATGGATTTTTAATATATATGGGAGATTCTCTAGTAAGTCTAGCGTATCGATATGTTAAATTTTTTTAATTATTAGATGTGCATACTTTTTAATTTTTACGTAATTTTATATAAATTTGATGGACAAAAAACTTAACGTACTGATACGTTAACGTATCAAAAAGTTAACGTATCGAAAAGTCCCTATATATGTATATCAACTACAAAAGAAAAACATGGTACCAGTACATACCATATCATGACATGAATTTTAACAGCTCAGTCTTGGTGGCTTTTGTACTACTAAGGCAGTTGCACGTTCATCAAAGGGTTTTAGCTTATTTCTTATCATCAATTTGACAAGTTTTATCAACTTTCTTTATTCATGAGTATATATACATACATATTTTATATGACAAAATTGCTGAAATCATTCTTAAAATGTATAAATCTAGATTTTTACTTCTGACTTTTGGTTAATACTCTTTTAATTAATATAGTTATTACTTAACAAAATATATATATATATATATATTAACTAAGAGTGAGAGATAAAAGCTTGAACTCATACATTAATTTAAAGGGTATTTGTATGTTTTTCCTTTATATATATATATATATATTCATATACTTTGTTACATACACAGATGTTGAAAAGAAAGTATGACTTAGAGAGAAGTGAGAAAAGGTATATCCTACAACTTTCATCTAAATCAGCTTTAACCTGCATGTACGTACGTAGCAGTGGCACCAAGTTAATTGATTCCTTTTTCATCTTCTCTTTAATAAAGAGAATATTATATATACTATTGCACAACAGGATTCCAATGGATCAGATAAAAAGTTTTGTTGATCAAGGACAACATGATTGCTGTAAATATTAGATGCTTTCTGCTAACCTTTACTTTCAAAATATAACAATTTGCAGAAAATAACCTCCTGGTCATTTGTTTTGATGGATCATATAATAGCCCCCCCCCCCAAAAAAAAAAAACCTGAAAATTAATTAAATGCAGAAAGTCAATCTACCTTTCATTACACTATTCCATTATGCAAATGAAACTTTTAACAAAGTTCATCACGTCTTCTTCATCATCATCAACAACTTCGAACATGCTCCGGTTTTGCAAATTCTAAATTATAAGTAAAAAAACACAAGATCTTGTGATCAATGTAGCCCAAAGAGTATTGGTTAAAGAGACAATCTCAGCTCCAAATCTAGTTCTTGAGTGTCACTTGATTCAGAATTCTGAGTGCTGCTTGAACCCAGTGAATTAGTACTTCTATGTTTTTGGCTTGTGTGCTGAGAATCCTATATATAATGTGAAAAATGAAGTAAATTAGGTTACCCTATTTCATGTATATTCAAGAGAGACTATATAATGGGCAATGATTATAAATAGACATATATGTTTGAGAATCTAAATAATGTGTAAATATGCTAAGGAAAAGCAAAACAAACCTCTGTGTGTAGATTGAGGAGGTGTCTAGTCATGTTTGGTTGCGCAATATATTGGGTCTCTAACATTGCGTTGCTGGGGTCCCATCTGGTAATTTCAGGAATATATCATATATGTACAACTCATAGAGAGATTATTGACAAATTTGGCACTTTTTATAGAATCTTTCCTAAAGGAAGTTGTACCTTGTTGTGGTGGTTGGTTGGGAGTCTCCATATCTTATGTTTGTTCTTTCATATTCACCAAGCCCCATCTACAGTTTACAAGGAATACAATTTCGAGACGTCTTAGAAAAATTGAGTATCAATTAAACACAAAGACTCTAATCAGATTTCTCTAAAAGGATGTGCTAATTATCTCTGATATCAGTTATTATGTTTCATCATTTACTTAAAAAAAATCTGATTCCTTTAAAATCTAAGCTAATCTACAGTTTACAAGGAATACAATTTCGAGACGTCTTAGAAAAATTGAATATCAATTAAACACAGAGACTCTAATCAGATTCCTCTAAAAAGATGTGCTAGTAATTATCTCTGATATCAGTTATTATGTTTCATCATTTACTTAAAAAAAAATCTGATTCCTTTAAAATCTAAGCTAATATTGATGAACTTATAGAAGAGATTGACTCGCTAGCTCTATATATATGATATTAGATGTGATTAATTTATTAGAATACATGAGAGATTGGATATATCATGTATTGAAAGTCTCTAGGGTTGGTACCAATCAACTGGTGAATAAAATAAAAGTCCCAATTCAAACAAAAGGAGATAGTAAATATTAAGACTTGTAAGTATTTCGATATTCAGAAGGATTGGTGATGCTTAATTATTTGTGCAAGTGGTAAGCAATTGGTGATATCAAACACACACACATATATGACTTCATAAACACATGTAAATGCACATAAACTAGCCAAAATTCTTCCCGGATGATATTTAAAGCACTAATTACAACCTCACAGATTCAACATCATTACACAAAAATCAATACTCATGATATAATATTCATCAAAGGAACAATAATATATCCAATTATTAACTATGAAAAAGAAAAGGTACTAGTTGTTTGCGCGCACACATACCATGACATTGGGATTGAAACCATAGGAGGGCGAAGAAGATAAAGAGGTAGATGAGTAAGAAAAAGAAGACGATGGTATAGCTGAATAAGCTGTTTGTACTCTCATATCATCCTGCAAAAGTTCAAAACATATCATATGACATATTTAACAATTAATCACCAAAATCTACATGAGAAAATAAATTAAATCTCCCTACATATATTCCAACAACCTTCATCTAGGTATATATAAAAACCAAATATTTATACAAATTTATCAAAACCCCAAAAAAATAAAGAAAAATTTGAAGTCTTACGTTATTGAAATTACTGGTAGTAGGGTAAGTATTAGGATTATGAAGAGAAGGATGGCCGTATGCAGCACAACCCATCTGACCATGTAATCTGATCTTCTCCAATTGAGCCACCCCAAGTCCTCTCTGCGGTTGCCTTGGCTTCTCTGAATTCGACTTCTTTCCTTTTCTTGATGATGATGACGAAGAAGATGATCCGCTTCCTCTTTGATGATCATTTCCCAAGTTTGGCTCTCCAAAATAACCACTGCCCATCTTCTCTTTTTTCTATTTTAATCTCTTCTTGATGATATTTTCTGAGATATATATATATAGGTATATATACAGTTTCTTTTGCAAATCCCAGCAAACTTTTCTTCTTCTTCTTCTTCTTAATTTCTGCAAAAGAAAAACACTTTCTGGCAAAATATAAACAGCTGCAGAGAAATCAGAGATCTTGAAGCTCCCTTTTTAAGCTAGTTTGCTCGCCAGTAATTATCGCATCGCTGGATCAGATTGTGTGTAGATTCTAATGTTTTATATATGTATATATATACCTAGATTTTATGCTCTTTTTCTCCCTCTCCCTCGAACTCTTCTCTTTTGGCTTACTTTCAGAATTTTCTATATATAAAGTTTTATTAATTAATTCTTATAATATTAACAATTATTTCCTTTTATTTATTAATTTCCTTTCCTTTAGTTATGGACCTTGAAGACTGTCACTCGAAAGTGATTGTCTATTATTTTAAGTGTTAAAAAATTACAATAGCTAACCATTACCTATCCACGCGCTTAGAGACAAACATATGCCACTAATAGTACATATATAGATATATAATGCTTGCATCTCATATATATATTATATATGAGAAAATTATTGAAAGTGTATTTTTATTTGATTACTACTAAAGTTATTTGACTAAAAAGGTATTAATTAAGAGTAAGAGATAAAAATTAGGTTTCTCATTTGTTTTTTTTTTTTTTCCTTCTTCTATGGCCGCATTGTTTACTATACAAATGATATATAATTAATAACGAATACATACCAAAATATTTTCTTAATTTACCTTATGACTACGGCTTTATAATATGGATGTATGTCACCATCTAGAAAAGAAAAGAGATTAGTGTGGTAGCTGGCATTTCTCATTAGAAATGTTTTTTACAGGAGCTAGCTTTAGACTCTTAGGATATATATAGGAAGCTAGTATTTGATTATATATATATATATATACACACACATATATATGTTACAAAACAAACCTTATTTTTATTTGCTTAAATACTGTTATTATAAGCCTGGCCTGAGATTAATCCACTTTTGACTACAAGTGGTTTTTCCACTTTCTATATCTCGAATTAATTGTGTGCTCATAGTGCCCTAATAACCTCAAAGGCTAAAAGAGCCCTAGCTGTAAAATTCTGTTGACAAACTTGGGATAAAGGAAATCAATTACTATATATTTATGAACATTATAAATTTGATTTTGACCCAAATTCTGATTTGAAATATTTAGATTCCGAGAAATCTTATTAGCAGATTAAATCTCTTGATAAATATGTACTAAAAAAGGTGTTAAGGCAAAATGCACATATATTAATTAATTGATTGCTCAAGGTGTTCATTATTAGCATTCCTCGTATTTATGTAGTTACTAGAAAAGGTGAAGGTGAAAAAGTTAAAAGGTAAAATATCAGGGATTAGTCAAATTAATTAGATGGCAATGAAAAGTAATCATATATTGATATAATCTTGTTGGTATAGAAGGGCGAGGGACCAAATCTAATTGAGCTGTTCCACGCATGATTTGTGGGTCATATTTTGTGAGTTGTTTGTGTGGTGGAAAGTGAGAATGCTCCAATTTCTTAAAGTAAAGAAACATGTGAACTCAATATTATTGCAATTACCGAAACAACCTAACTAATCTTATTCCATCTAATTAGCATGTCATTTGTTGGATAATGAGAAGCAAATAAATATATTATTATAAATAGATTAGTTTCACAACATTATTTTACATCCTAAAGTCAAGCTTCCCAAAGGGTCAAATTGTGGAACCCAATCCATTGGAATTTAAAGTATATAATATAGTGTCTCTTTATATATCGCTTCCTTCAAAATCTTAAGTGGTGATTTGAAATGAATAAATAATTTTTACACATATATTTAACTACACTTAAACTATATGCTAAATTATTGATGGAAAACATATAACGTTTAACAGTGTATTTGATAAGGTGGAAAAGATAGAGGAAAGAAAATAAAGGAATGATTTTGTAGAAGAAAATGGAATTTTAGGTTGTTTGGTAGAGAGGAAATGTGGAAGGAAGGAAAATGAAAATCTATGGAGCCCACTAATTTTTAATCATTCTAACTTTGAGAAGAAAATAGAAAAAAAAAAAAAAAAAGTTTGACAAAAAAATGAGATGTAAAAGAATAATTTTAACTTTCATTATTCATAATATTTTTATTTATATTGAGACATTATTATAAAATGTCTTAAATTTAACATTTCCTATTTCACTTTTCTTTTTCTTTTACCCATCAAGATGAAATAGTACTTTTCTTCGCTTGTTTATTATTTTAGATTGTGGCCTACATGGAACCTGCAGGTCCATATTTTTTTTAATAAATAATTTGTTCAGTTACCGATGCTTTAAGCTACACCTGTGGACAATATAGCCTTTGTCATATGAATTCAAAATACTACTCATTTTCATTAACGGATTAAAATATTTAATGTCGTGAATCAGATGATTCAAAGAAAATCATGTGATAATTAAAGATATTATGTTATCGTAGTGTGAGTTGCCATGACTGACTAATTATATGGCGCCACGTGTGACAGTCACAAATGACCTACTATTATTCTTACTTAATGATAATGTTAAAGAATACTATAAACTTAATTAAATTAGTAAAACATAATCATACTTAATTTTCAGTTTTCTCCAACATTAAGTTATTATATTACAATTTACAAGTTATTAGATAAATTTATAGGTTTCCATCACAAGAAGTAAACGGCTATCAAATAAATAATATTGTTATCCCATTTTCCAAAATATTCAATCTACAAATTTGAAACAAAGAATATAGAAACTAATGGAGGCATTCAAATATAAATATATCTCATCACAAAATAAACACAATTGAAGGACGATTAAACAAATATACACGCGAGAACTTTGTTTTCTAGAATTAATAGGCCTAGACCTGCATGTTGTCTATCAAATGTGTGAGAAAACGTATTGCCTCATTTTATAGAATACATGGTCTTGAAAATTTTGTATGTAAGTCGGTAGAATTATTTTCTAGATATTGTAGTTTATGAAAGGCGAAAAAAAAAAGATATAAATGCGTTCAATTTTTTTTTTTTGGTCTATGGAATATATATGTATATTTTTTACTTGAACTTCGTGAGAGATCTTAAATTATGTTTATTTTCTGTATTCGTTTCTGATTTTAAATCATGATTCATAGTTCTCTACAGTAATTTTCTCACAAAAAAATACGCGTAAAATGAGAATGGTTCTGAATCATGATTCTGAATACATTAACCAAATGTCCACTTACTTTAAAATGGAGTCATGTATAGTCTAGTGATGTTTACCGTTTGTCTATAAAAATGATGATATATGTATAAATCATAATATAATAATAAAAAAATAAATATTACAGAACTTTAAAATGAATTTAAAATAAATATTAAATGTGTTGAGGATCTTTGTCTCCAAGGTGTTACATCTTTCGTGATGGTGTGCCTCTCAATGGTGGTAGAAGGTAGCGACGGCACGTGAATTTCACGCGCTGGTGAAAGGATGACTTTCCTCTAGCTCTCTTGGCACTCGTTTCGCTTTCTTCCCTTGGTTTTGTTAGCCATGGTGTTCAGCTCGTCACAGTTTGTTCTTTGTATAAGGCCGGGGTTTCCTTTTTCATTTAGATTTTTTTACTTCTTTTATATTTGGTGTGTAATAGGCTGATGTCGCTATTCTTTAGGTATTGGTCGCCGACGTATGTCAGCTTTGGTTGTGTCTCCCACACGATTAAGTTGTTTACCGATGGTGTGAATTTCTTGCTCCAGCTAGAATTTAGTCATGTTGTTGATGTCCCTTCTATGTGGGGATTGGTGATTTGTCCCTCCAGCACTCGAAAGTTTATCTTGATGGGAGAGATTTTTTCAAATAGAGTTTTAGGTGTGCTCGATCTTAGTGTGTCGAGGTTTGCTTCCGTTTTCGAACTTCAGGTGTACGACCGTCCCTCTGATGAGTCATTAACCTTGTATTGTGTTTGTTTCTTTTTAAAAAAAAAATGAATTATTAATAATAGGAATGATAGTATATGTATGGATCGCAAAACAATAACACAGCTGGAAAGTAAATGGGGGATTATACATGTTGATTAAGCTCTGATTTGATGAGTGATGGAGTTAGTAGCAATATATTTTATATGTAATTATAGGGGAAAAACAAAGACAAAGAAAAGTGGAAAGAGATATGCAGAGAATATATGATATCTACTGTAGATTTGTTGGCACATGTAAAACGTAAGAGAGGGTGCATTACTCCACACGATTTGCAAAACAAAATAATCCCTAAGAAATCGCTGGTGATGTTTATATTATGTGTTTTTTTGATAAAGGGCCAAAGAAAAAAGTTTATCCCCACCACTTGCCAAAATCCATCAAAATCAGCCTCAATCTCATATAATATAAGATTCCCAAGCATTATTATAATTCTTATACAGCACACGGGGACTTGTACCAAACTTCTTGTGGTTATTAAGAGGTTAAGAGGGTGCCTTATGGAGGATATAGCTAGCTTGGGGCATGAACTATATATTATAATTATCTACGTGTCTTAAAACTAACCCTTTTGTAGTTTAAAACTTTTTAATTAATTAATAAATGAAATTAAAAAAGTGGAAAAGGATCGTCCGAGATTCCTGAGAAAAGATATTGATTACACATCCAATGTAATCACCTTTGCTAGTGTGTCATACGATCTTTATATTCATTTATAACCATTAATATTGGCATTTGGTGTCTTTAATCACATTTGAAAGGAAGAACTTTCCATTTAGATGTGGTGATCTTCTTCTTCTCTTCTTCCCTTCCCTTGTGTAGTTGTGTTGCTATGTGGCCGGAATGAAAACACACCACTGGCAAAACGATGACGTTTTAACTTCTGAGAAAAGTAAAAAAACGACGGCGGCGTTTAGATAGCATAATTAAATGTAAAAGAAGACAAGATTAACGGCGACGGTTAAGTTAATGATCATCTTTAGAATAAAATTGGAGGATTTTTACTAAATAAAAGAATAAAACAAAATTAGAGCGTATGATGAGGCAGGATGCATAGAGCAAAAATGAGACCAAATACAAAGAAAAGGCAGGTAAAACTTAAACAAGTGGCAAAGCTCAGATCTAAGGGTTGAAAACCAAAGCATTGAGAATGAACGGTGAAGATTAGACCGAGTCTGATTTCGCACACACTAC